TTTGTTTATAATATTCAAACTGCTGCCTACATAAAGCAATGAATCTACAGGTAATCACAAATATACTCCCCTCACCCCACCTTTCAAGAGAGGATCTAACAAGCCCAGGGTCTTTGGGAGACATGGCACTCAAGATTCTGAACCCTTTGGGCAGTGAGACTAATTTAACCACTTCCAACCCAACTAAGATACCATAGTACAGAAAAAGAGTAGCCACATAAGAATTCCTGTTTGGAAAAGAGGAATAAGGATAAGCAACGTGAGTGGGACAACTCCGGAGAATATGCCCCACTCCACTCAATAGGACCAGTGAGGCATACCCACTTTTGACTCACTGTCTTGGCTACTGTTAAGTCTTTGGCATTCTGTTCCCAGGAAACTTTGCCTTGGTCATTTCGCTTCATGGTCGCAGTAGGTAGGAGGACAGCTCATGAAAGGCTATGTTTTTCCATAAGCCCAGTTGCTATCATTTTTGTCACAAAGACCCAGGAATTGCCTTGGAGATGGAGCAATTGCAGGCTTCTAATTTAGGAATTTCTCCAGCAAAGCACCTCTTTTAAAGAGCTAGTTGGCTATCAATGTTGTTTATTGTGATGTGCTCTCTTGGCTTACAACCAACCAGAAATCTTGTTGAATCATAGTATTTGACTCTGGAACCTGCCTTTGAAATTTATGTCTTCTAGAAACATACCCATAGGACTTTGCCCATCCTTGTATGGACCTCTGTTTAATAACTTCTCCCTTGGTCTTGCCTCAGGGCAACTGAAGCAGTGGGCTGAGTTGTGGGTTCATCACCAGTTGTGTGTTCTGGACAGCAGAAGTCCCACCAAGACGAAATGAATTACTCAAGACTGTGGAAAAGTTAAGAGAGGGAGAGGGAGTCGGGAGCCAACTTGATGACCCTCTCAAATCTCCCGTATTTATTGAGTACAGTCAAAGGAGGAGGAATTTAGGGAAGGACAGGGTGGGATCACAATGAGTACAAAGGCTTTGTTTATTGTTGGTTTTGGCTCAAGGTCATAAAACCCTTTTTGGTGAATCATGTTGTGTTGAGCCTTTCAGTTTATCAGGGCTGAACTTACGAGAATCAGTTGCTTAACAACTTGGACTCAGGCTGTGCCTGTCTTAGGTTGCCCCTCTCAGGGGATCTTACCCGTCATTGTCTAACCAGCCTTCTCACCTCTGAGTCTGCAGCTTTTTATAAGTTGTTTACCATTCCAGCCCAAGGCTGTTTTGGGGATAGAAGACTAACAGCAGGCACGCCCAGCGTTTATAGCCGAGGGCCTGGGTCATTGTTAAAACTTCAAGGCACTTACTAAGCACATCTTCTTTAAGTAGATAAGCGGCTGGGATCTGTTACAATTTGTTAACCCAATCATGGGCTCCCACACTGAGTTGGTAAAACAGAGCTCAGCTGCTCTCTGGCTCCTGGTTGCATTTCAATTATTTGCACTTTATGATGGGAAAAATTACTACCCTTTCTTAGTGACAAGTGCATAGCAGGAGTTGTTTGGGAGAAGTCTGGGTGGTCAGGCTTTTCCCATTTCTAGGTTACTCCTGGGTGTCTACTCCTCTTGGTGAAATAACTTCACTGTAGGACAGAAAGTTAATCTCTAACAGTTTTTCAGGCAGCATGGTTTTCTGATCCTTAGCAGCTTTGGATCACTAGGTACATACAGAAAGGGCCTCTGTTTTAACAACACTGTATATCTGTCTTCTTATTTCCTATCCATTTTAAGAAATGCCAGCTTGGACTGAAACTTACTTTCCTTTTAAAGGACCTTACCAAAGGCCATAGGAAGTATCTAGTATGCTTATGTATGCTCTTGTTCCTTTTTTTTTCTTACAAATTTTAATCATTTATTATAGCAGTTATTTTATCAGTCATTTTTCTGGTATGCATATAAACCAAATCCCTGTTATATCTCTTGACCTACTGTCAATGTTCTATTGATATATTCTAAATTTAAAGGTTTTTAAAATTCAAGTAGGGTTATTTATAATATTCTATTAGTTTCAGGTGTACAACATAGTAATTCAATATTCCTCTCCTGTACAATATATCCTTGAAGCTTATTATTTATGCATAGTAGTTTGTACCTCTTAATCCACTACCCCATCTTGCCCCTCCCCCTTCCCTCGCCCCACTGGTAACCACTAGTTTGTTCTTTATATCTGTGAGTCTGTTTCTGTTTTGTTATATTCAAGTTACATTCATTTGTTTATTTTTTTAGATTCTGCATGGAAGTGGTAAGGCGGGCATATACAGTACCTGTCTTTGATTTATTTCACTAAGCATAATACCCTCCAGGTCCATCCATGTTGCAAATCGCAAAGTTTTGTTCTTTTTTATGGCTGAGTCTTGTTTCTTACTATTTTTCTACCAAGCCACCAAAATATCGTTGTCTACCAGATACAGCAGGTAATAGTTAATACCTAGTTTGTTTTCATGTAAGAATGACTCCTGTCTTTCCAGCTGGCAGTGGTGTGATTCTCACTTTCTCTTCCTCATATCAGCTAAGCCCAGCCTACATTTAAGTCTCTGTCATGGTATCATTCCACTTTCCGATACTCATTTCTATAGTAATTAGTAATCTTGTATTGCTAGTGACAAAAACTCAAGTGTAACTAGCGTAAGGAAAAAAGCAGGGAGGAGGGAATTATTGGAAGGATTTTTGGTAACTCACATAAGAGCTACAGAGAGAGGCAGCTCTGGAAACTTCTGTGACTGGAACTAGGAAACTGTCTCCTATTCTAGATTCTTTCTGTATGTTGGCTTCTTTTGCTCAGACTCTTCTTCGTGGTTGCAGGAAGCTCTCATCACATCCTACACCTCCCTGTCAAAGCAGTAAGTGGGGCGAGGGTTCTTCCCTTCTTACTCTAGGAGAAAAATACTGGAGAAGGGCTCTACTTAGCTTGGCTTGGACCAGTCATTAAGGCTGAAGGGTGAGCTTGACATCACTTAACTAGTTTACTGGTCTACTTTTCAAGTATTGGGAATTCTGATACCCTACTGAGATGATAGTTGCTGAATTCTTGGTTAGTATCTTTCTTTTTTTTCAATAGGTGGTCAAAATACCCAGTACTTTTGAAACCACACCTGAGGAACTGATAATTTCTTTTTCATAGTAAAAATAAAAACCATTATCCATTATCCTCAGAGACAGTCAACTTTCCTTTAAAAATACTGCCATTTTTTCTTGCTGATGCCATCCCTCTAGCTTTGGAGAAACAGCCACGTTCCACCCAAATTATAATTTGATGAATGTGGTCCTGGGATATTCAGCTGGGACAGTGATCTACAGAGACAGCAATCGAAATGGTCAATCAGAGGAGCCACTAAATGACACCCAAGTGCAGGCGTGTGATTAACAACAGGTGCTGAAGATATCCGAGCTGACAAATTGAAGTTGTCCTTTCTCCTCACCTTAGTAACACTTTAGGTTTCCCTGAAACCAAAATTACTGCAGAAAGATAAACTTTGTCACAAACAGCTGCTCACTGGGTACTTAGAATAGACTGCTTTGCGGTGTGTGTTACATTTTAAAATCATATTTCCTGTCTTTCTAGCTTGACTGTGAACTCCTTGGGATTGGGGAGCAGAGTTTATACGTCTTTGTTTACTCGCTCTTCCTGGAACAGTTTTGTATACACAGAGGATGTTTAGCCAGAGTTGGAGCATTGTTAAGGCATGTAAAGAGTTGGATGCTTGTACCACTGGCTTTAAAAAGTGTATAGAAAGACTCTTCACTCTCAGGTGAATGGAGAACTCTGCCTGTGAAATAAGCATTGATCTTGGAACTAGTAGGTTCTGATCTCTTTCCTACCTTGACTAATTTTTTGAGTAAGAATATTTATTAAATCTACAAACATTTGATTGAGTGACTGTTACGTGCTATGACCTGAGAGGAACAGTGAACCTTCCTTCATGGAGACTTTATTCTAGTCAGACTACAAGTAATATATATATCCACATAGAAATCCCATGAAGGAAGGGTGGTATGATAGAAAGTAACTGGGGAGGTCTTTTAGGATATGGAGGAAAGGAATAAGATGCATGGGAGTTAGGAATGCAAGCTCTGGAATAAGACAGATCTGAGTCTGAATCTCAGCCTCTTTCACTTACAATCTGTGTGTCCAAAAGTGAGTGATGCAACGTCTCTGAGCCCCATTTTTTTCATTAGAAAATGTACTTACAAGGTTATTGTAAAGATAAAATTAAAAAAATATAAAAATGCATAATACAAGTACTTACTATAATGTATTCTGGCTTTTGTCCTCTGGGTTGTGATAAAATGATTGAGTGTCTTACATAGAAAGTTTGCATTTCTGTGATTGTTGTGCCCCAGTTTTCTTGCTTTCTTAGAAAAAAGAAAAGAAAAAGAAACCTTTCTGATTACTTTAGCTTTGAAAGGCTTCCAGTGAAGTAAAAGATGGATAATTATTATTCCTGCTCAATTTTACAGTCTTCTGAACCAAGTATCTTTAAATAGGAAGAAGCAACCATAAATCTTGCAAAGTTCAAAACCCATTACCTAGGGATATGGTGATTGTCTCCTATCTTGAAGGGTAATTATCTGTTTAAGAATAGAGCTGGCCCAAGAAAGCCTTGGTTGAGTTAAAAAAAAAAATCCAAATCAACCATTAAATCAACAGTTGCTCTTATTTTGTTGCCTATGGCCCCAGGTATGGGTGCGACATACCAAAGGATTTGTAGGATGAACAGAATCAGATTTTACATTTCTCTGTATTTCAGGTAGACCAATTAGCATAGATAGTTTCTTAAAACACACTATTCAGTGCTCTGAAGCACACATAACCCTCATCAGTGGTGGAGCTCAGATGCCCGGCCCCAGTGGTCTGCAAGACAGGAGCTCACTGCAAGACTCCTATCCCTATCTCAATGCATGTATTTCACACATTCTCTATCTGTGTGTATATTTTTATGAAACCAAATCCACAGAAGCTAAAATCTCTGCCTTATAAAGTCTTTTCTTTGATTTCAAAGAAGTCCCAGAAGGCTTTTGCTTAAATGTTTATGGAGGGAAGAGCTTATAAAAGAAGTAATCTCATATCAATGTATTGTAGTTGGAAGTTAAGGATGCCAGTTACCCATCTTTGCTATGTATTTGACTTATTGCCAATTAAGAACAATCTAGTCAAATGGGATCAGGATGCAGTTTTATTAATTGCCCCTTTCCTGCCGATGATCCTGGCTTAGCTATGTTGAAAGACACACCTTAGGCCAGAAGCCCAAGTTGGGGCTTCCTAGTCCCCCACTCAGCTCTCATTTAATTCAGGGTAGCTGATGTAGATTACGGCTGGTATGATTTACCCACTTACCTAGTCACTGGCATGGAAGCTGGGGCATGGCTCCTTTCACTGGCAGGGACAGTTCCTGGTGGGTCAAGTGCAGAGGGACAAAAAGGAAAGGAGGGAGAGTATGAGACAGAGACAGACAGACACACAGACATACATACAAGGCTCCCTGCTCCTGCATCTGAGTCACGCACTAGCTCACAGAGTTTCTAGTGGGAGGAAGATCATTTGTCTATGCCTGTGAGAAGAGCTGCTCTTGACAAATTGTCCATTTCTTCCCCCATTTTCAATTTCATTTTCTTTTTAGGTGTGTACCTTCATTAGTCCAAGTTCCTAGGCACTCCAACACTCTGGCATCCTAATGCCTTTGTCCTCTTAGCCTGTCTCATTCTCCAGGTACTTTCTGCCCTTCTTACTCTCCTCTAATGTACCCACCTCATGATCTGTTTCCTTAGCCTTTTGTCTTATCTCAAGAGCTGGTTTCTTTGCTGGTGTTTGTTTGGTTATGCTATAACATTTATTTTTCTTTTTTTCATAGTAATCTTTGATGCCTTAACACAAAGTTGTGATTTATATGAAAACTTCAGTTTTCAAGGCAGGTAAGTGGGGAAAATGTTTTATTCACAGAAAATTTCTCTGCCTCGCAACTCATGTAGAACTGGCAACAGCCTGCTCTTCCTATGCACAAAATTGCTTTTGGCTGTGATCATCTCCGGTAGCTAGGTTTTATCTTTATCTGAATCTCTGACAAACTGAATCAAATTGATTCCAAAGTCCTTTAAGGAACAAGAAGAAACTGTCTTTGCTCAATATGACAATGTCTAATTTAGTGTGAGGACTGGAAGAACTGAAGATGTTTAGTGTAAAGAAGAGATACTATCAGGGGACACAATATTCTGCTTCTTTTATTTGAATAACTTATTTGGAGAGGGCTTGTTCTTTTGTATCTAAAGGGTATGAGTTAAAGAGAGGCAGACTGGGAGCTTTTCACAGACTGACTTGCAGACATGGAAAGCTCTTCATCCAGGTAATACACTGCATTAACTTCCTGACCTTAAAGATGCTTTAAGCAGAGGCTAAATGACTACCTGCTTGCTGCAATGCTTCAGGATGCCTCCTGTGTGTGGAATAAGGTTAGACTAATGGCTTCTGGGGTCTCTTCCCATGCTGAGATCAAATGGTGTTTCACTGCCTTATTTCCTCTATTCATTGTCTTTATTGCTCAAAGTCTGGAGGAGCATTTGAGGAAAAGGACCTTCAGACTTGCAGTGTTGCCAGATTTCTTAGCTTTATTAAAGGCAAACAACTCTGGGAAGCCTTGAATGAGTGGGTAGAGTAAACTTTTAAAAGAAGTGGTCAACTGAAGGAGAAGGATACTGTCCTAATATTTGAATGATGCCTTAAGATTGCAAGATTTTCAGAAAATTCACGTCAGTCTGTGTTATAGTCTGACTGACTTTGATTACTACAGTTCTCTAGTTCTTAAAACCTGAGTCAGTTTTTAAATAAATGTTTAATAATTGAAGTATGTCTACAGGGATACACACAGGTCTTAAATGTACAGCTTGATGAAGTATCACAAAGTGAACAGTTATATAATCCCCATGTGGATCGACAAGAAATAGGATATCACCTGAGGAATAGAACTGCATTTCAGAAAGCTCTCACCCTTCCCAGCCTGTTTCATAAGATTGTGAGTGAATTTGGTTTGGCTACATTAATGATCTACACTAAAGACTTAATAAAACATTTTTGTAAAAATAATTTTTGTACTTTATATGAGCTTCTGAGTAGGCTTGAATACTGTTTTTTCTCTTAGATGGCTTAAATATTTTATCTGCAGTTGTATTTACACTGACAACTTGATCAGACATCATTCTCTTTGAATATAATTAATACATTCTCTTCTGTGGTTGAAGAGCTCACTATATGTATTTGCAACTCATCTGCTAGAACTTTATTTTCTACTAGAGCCAGAAAGTAGGATTTGTGTATATTTGTACCTGGATAGAAATTATGGAAGTATTACTTTACCCTTTACCCTTCTGTTCTGCTTTTTATGTTCTCTAATTAATATAAATTAATAATTTTAAAAAGTGAAAGTGTTGAGGGGGGCTTTATCTAATTTGATACAGTCTTATGAAACATGTAGGGTTTATGTTATTGTTAATAAGAAGGTCTCATAAGATATTATGTTCATAATGGATAATAGATGGTTTTAAAATCTTTTCTCTCCTTTACTTTCTTTCTAACCAAAGCTCAACATGAACATCAGCCTTGAAAGGCCTTTGACTGAGGCTCTTAAGTACTTTAGAATATCTCCTACATTCTGTATTATGATTGTTCTTTAAAAAGGAACCCAATATTGCTAGATCTGCAATTTAGAATGCTTGATGCTACACCCTTGGAGAATACACAAGGATTTAAAATATTTTTAATTAATTTTTTGGGGGGGAGGGGAAGATAATTAGATTTATTTATTTAATGGAGGCACTGGGGATTGAACCCAGGACCTTGTGCATGCTAGGCATGTGCTCTACCACTGAGCACACCCTCCCCCTAAGAATTTAAAATATTTTGAGGCTACAGAACATAGGGAACGGTTAGATACAATAACTTTATGACTGTTGTTTGGGAGTAGAGCTTGTGAAGAAAATGAGGCCTGGGAAAGCTCAATACCCCATGTTCTTTTGTTCTCTTCACTGTGGAATGTGGCTTGGTTATGATTACAGGACAGGGAGATAAGGGTGAAGACTTGAGGAGATAATATGAAATTAGGACACATGAAATCTTTGCAACAATTTCCCTCTCTGTGTGATGTTTGGAGCAGAATTTAGCACACTTCTATGGTATCCAGCCAGATATCTGGATGTCAGTAAAGTTTCCTAACATTCTATGAACCAGAACAACCTCTGTCTTCTCCAGGCCACTCTGAACCTTAAGGGACATGCAGACTATTGAAGGAGGGGACTCGAGTAACACTAACAATTACCTTTAATTTTCAGATCAGGAAACTGAGAGACTTGTCAGTTCTGCATAGCTAAGAGTTAGGGTTGGCAGCAGATTAGAACCGAAATCCTCTGACTCCAGTCTCTAAAGTCTTGATTTTGACTTTTATATAACTTTCGTTTGTCTGTTATAAACACCATTTGGTATTTGACAAGTATCAGTATTTGCATGTTTTGTGGGGAGGGGATGAGGGAGCACCCATATTTGTGCCTCTAGGTGTTGCCTGCTATTGGTATCATGGAAGCTGGACCAGCTTGCCTATTGGAATTTGTTCAGCTCCTCTACCTCTCTCATTTTTGCCTATTCAAGTTTTCAAAAGCAGGGTCCAACTCGCTAAACCTCCTTTGATTTAATTTGATAACTGCATGTTTGTTTTAACCCTTTTTATGTTATTCTGATACATGAAGTAGGATAGGTCACTTTATTTATCATCATTTTATTACTAGAGGTGTTCAGACCCAGTGAAATGGAGGGAACCCTCCTGGATCAAAGAACAGGTGAACACAGAGCTGACACTGCAAGGCACTGGCCCTCACTCTCTATCCAGTACTACTGCAAAGCTGAGCCACAGCCCCTCCTAAGCCTGGTAGTTGTTCTTGCTATATATTTGTTAAATACCAATCTTACAGCAGCATTAAATGCAAATGTAAAAAGAAAAAAATCTCTAATTCCTCCATCAAGGATTTTTGTCTCTTTTTATTTTTGTATGTTTCTCACTAGTCTTTATTATATTATATGCTTATTGACATGCTTTAGAAATGATAGCCTTTTTGGAAAAGCTAAAAGCAACAGAAATGTAATGAATATGGGACTTGTTAGCAGAATCTTTAAGTCCGGTTTTCTTTCTTTGGAAAATCAGTGTTGATAGCTATTGGACTACTCACAGACTTCTTTCTATTTTGATGTAGTGGTTTTGGTGTAAATTATTTTATCTTGATTTTACTCTAGGGCTTTTAGAATTAGATTTTGCTGGAGTCAGGTTTGATTTAATGCTTGTATGCATTATAGGTATTAGAAGAAAATCCCATTCGCCCAAAAGTCTTTGGAGTACCAGCAAACTAATTAAAGCTACCCAGCTAAGTAAATCTATTTTCCATTATCAGTAACATAGTGATTTTTTTTTAAGCACAAAGTTTACTTAGTACTTGAAGGAAAAAACCCCAATCTACAATATACAATATTTGATGTTTTCTCAAAGTATACCTGTAGATTTATGAATGTTTCAGTTTCTTTTTACTACAAGGACCATGGATTAGCTCGGATGGCTAGACTAAGATATTAAAGGGTCCAAGGACATGGATTTGGATGGTAGGTAGAAATTATTTGGCTTTGTCTGTTTCATGACCTTAGAGTCACTTCTGACACGAATGAATCCATCAGTAGTTATTGAATACCTTGCGTTCTCACACAGAAATGTTTGATGTGATTTTTACAATGTAATTTTATGTTTTTTAGTTATTAATGAAACCAAAGTGTTCATGGGCCATTGCAAATGCATCTGTAAGTTTAGGGCAAACATCTCAATGCTCATCACACTGGACGGTGGTTTAGTGGGAACACTCGGTATTTAAAGGGATCAGGAGGCAGTTGCTCTGGTCCCTATTTCATCACCAATTAAAAAGTAGGGTAGAAATTTCCTGGA